GGTTTGGGGGAGGGGGTTAGAAATGTTACCAAATTGAAAGTGGGGAATGGACAGAAGATTAAGCTATGGGAAGATGTTTGGCTTGAGGAGGGGATGCTTTGTCCCAAACCTATTTACACTGGTACTGGTGCCAGATGTTACTAATGGTGATTGCTTTAAGGAAGATGGTTGGAACTTTCATTTCAGATGGAATTTATGTGACTGGGAAATGGTAGAAGATGCAGAAATTTATACAGAAGATGCAGTCTGTCGTATTGGAGAGGAACAAGGAAGATGTTATTCAATGGACAATTTGCAATGAGGGGTTTACTCTGTTAGAACCTTTCATAGAGTACTGCAGAAACAAATGGAGGATTATGATACTTCACTCCGCGCTTTCCGAGACACGCACATTGGCCATGTCAAGTAGCAGTACGTTGCATGTTCTCATAGTTTTACTCTTCTACTACTCTTCTACTAGATAGCATTTTCTCACATTTTAGTGCATATATTATGGTTATCAACCAGCTGGATATCCACAAGGTCCTATTATGATTCATGTAGTTTTTGCATATGGGAAGTCCATTTCACACAAAAGAACTGAAAACAGGTAGCAACAATTTCAAGGCCAGCCAACTCTATACGCAACTTGCTCCTCCATCTTAAAGATCCAGCGGTGAATGCATTTATATCACAGCACTACCAACAAGCAATAAAAAGAACTTACAATGATTAGGTAAAACAAGCAAGAGCTCACAGAGAAGAGATGAAGATATGCCTTAGCAAGGAGAAAGCTATCACTATCTGAAAACTTGATATGCATATATGACCATGTTGTGTTTAGGCCCATGTAGCTCAGTTCCAATTAAGAATGTTTTTGGCATCCAATATCCACTGTGCTGGCATCTAAAGCCAGAAGCAACGAATGTACAACACTCAACAAATGTCTTTCTTACTCATGGTCAAAAAAAGTTAGAAGGTCAAGGTGAATTAGTCATATAATGGTTAGCACAGAGGATTGGTGATTACAAATGGTACATCAATCGCGACACACTTCCAATTTGCATTTTATCTCCAGTCTCCACCAGTTCTAATGGTTCAAATTCAATCAGGCAAAGAAGACGAGATCATGCATGAAAAATTGCAGCTCTATTACCTCATCGCAACTTCCTTCCGTACAGTATAACGGATCTTTTTATCGAAACACCGTTCTTTCCTCTTTTCCCTAAAACGATTCAAAGAAGCAGCTCTTTGTGGTTGATTCAATCTTCCAGGAAAGTCAGCTGAAGCCTGTGGATATTGGGGCGGAAGAGCAATAACAGATTAAAACCCAGCAGAATGGTAAAAGAATGTATGCCGGAGATAAAGATGAATACCCTCTGACTTTGGGCTGCCACACTAACAGTAGGGATTCCAGCAGGGACTTCATATCCCCCCAACAACAACAGCACCGCCTGAACCTGAAACTCAATAAACACAAAAAATAAAAATAAAAAAATTGCCCCAATTAAAATGATTGTAAATATCAACTTAAACCCACTAAAGAGGAATTAAACTCCACTACCAGATGCATATAATAAAATCGTGCCAATGAGAATCATTCCTGCTCCTAGAAGAACAAAAAGACCAGCATGGGTTCTTTGCTTCAAAAGCTAACCAATATCAACCAATTCACCATTCACATACCACCTAATCTCAGAAACGACCAATTCCCGAGCCTTGAATCACCTCAACTCCAAAAGTCAAGTGAAAGTGAGGCAAGAACTTTCTGCCAAATACACAACTACCCTCAATTCAAAAATTGAAAACTTTTCCCCTAATTTACTCAATCTACCCAGAAGCAATGAACATGTAGACAACACACTACACTAAGACAAGCAAGATTCCAAGTAATGCACAAACAATTTCAAAAGAAGAAGATATGGTCAAAGTAAAAGAAGCACTCTTTCAGCTAAACTCATAAAGAACACACTACACAAATAAAGGGCAAACCTTTATAATAAGAACAAGAAAGTAAAAGAAGGACCTTTTCCGGAGAAACAGCATCGAAAACATAAACTTCGCCTTGAAACGACAGCGTAAGCTGATCGGAGGCTCCACTACCAGCAGCAACAGCAGTTTGAACTATTTCGGTATTAGGGGGACAATACAACGCGTTATGTGAAACGCCTTCCACACCATTCATCTCCATGGACTCCCCGCCGTTGTGAAGCGCGTGAGAATGACTATGAGACTGGTGGTGATGGTCGTAGCGGATGTTAGGGTTGTTATCCATAGACTCTCTTCCTCCATCAGCACCGCCGCCGCCACCTTCAGTTCCAGCGGCGACGTCGTCATCGTCGTCGTCGTCGATCTGAGTTTGCTGGTGGTGAAGTGCAGCGTTAATTGTCTCCCGTCCGTACATGTTAGCTCTGCGATTTGTTTCTGCCATTTCTGACGTCCTTTTATTTGTTTTTTCTAAAATAACAATACTAGTACTACTCCTACAATATTACCCCGCGAGCACTGCCAGCTATGAACCAACAAATCTAGGCTCCATAAACTTGAACCATATCCAAATAAACCCGAATCCTTATGCCCCAAAGACAGGGGTCCGACATAATTTTAACGGAAAATGGTCAAATATAATTATGTATTGTCAGAAAATATTTAAATATATCACTCGTTATATTTTGAATCCAAATATACTCGTATCGTTATATTATTGATTTAAATATACTCATATTCCATTAAGTTTGTCCAAAGTTGACATCCAATCTTACGTGAAACTGACATTTGATAAGGTGGATGTCACATGGCTTTACGCCTCAGCGCCCCTAACCCATTTTACCCCTCTCTTTTATTTTTTTTTCACCACTAAAATTTTTTTCCCCTCCATCACTATTGACACTATTACTGCTACTATAAAAATATTGTATTTTAAATTTTAGTTTTTTATACATAGATTAGGGACGATGAAGTGACATGTCATGTGGCATTCACCTAGGATTAGATATTTATCTTAGACAAACTTAACGGAAGAGGATTATAATAGAGTGATACATAAGATAATTATCTTGTAGGAGTTAGAGGTAATTAGTCGCGTTCCTATTTCCGATTAGGTATTTTTGCCACATAGAAAAGACATAAAAGATAAAGTAATGAATGAAACATCTCTATATATGTACATTTTAATTTGACAAAGAAATACTTATCGGCATCCTAATTGTGTTGAAATGATTGACACACCTCACTAATCGGAAATAGGAACGCGTCTAATTACCTCTAACTCCTACAACATAATTATCTTGTATCACCATATTTTCAACTTATCTTCCTTTGTAACAATTTGTTAAATGAGTATTATCACTTTTAGCCCGTGTCATAAATTATTTATATTCGATAGTCAAAAAAATATATAAAAATTGTATAATTTTTATATATAACATACAAAATGTATATATATAAAATATAAAAAAAATTAACTATTATTTTGATATCGTTTATATTGTGTCATTTTTCCATGTTAAAAAAATACATGTACACATTGTCATAAATCCTTGACCATTTTGCGCTTTATCGTTTCAATTTTATCCAATGTTCTCCGTGTATAACATAAAATATCTTATCCATTTAACTGTTATTTCAAAATAGGTGTCATAAAGTATTATGACTATAAATATCATACGTTCCCTGGAGGAACTCAATGAATTTAGGCAACTGAATCATTTTATCATCCTTAAATTTCCTAAATAGAATGGAAATTTTTAAATCCATTTTGTCCCCTCATATCCACTGCAAATCCGAATCAAAACGAAATAATCCTCAGAATAATCCGAAATACCATCAACGTAATTAAATTAAGGGATACCTTTGTTTATCCTATATACCAGAAAGTCCCTTCATTGTTATGCTATTTTACATTGGGTTAGAACCAGACAATCAAATCTATGGCATGTGACAAAAATAGATGAAACCAGTTCTACGTATATAAATACACAAATCCATTCATGTTCTTCTCTTTGTCATCTCAATTCTTGAAACATAATATTCTTATTCTAATTCCATTTCTTCCCTTTTGTTTCTTTGTGTATATACAATTTGTACCCTTTTTTATTTCATTTTTCCTTGTTGGGTTTTTGGCATTTGGTGTGAAAATGCCAACGGAAGGTGAAAATTCACTATTCATGGGAATGTGCAATATTTGAGGGAATTGAGTCATGAATTCATTTGCATCATGTATTTAATTGGACTTTGAATTATGAACAATTTCATGTTTTTCAATTCATATCAAATTAATTGGCAATTTGGCATGGATCCAAATCAAGAGGAAAGAGCAGAAAAGAAATGCTGAAAAATTGAACTTCTTTAGTTCATCTTTATTCATTATTTTGCCTTTAATAGTTTTAGAGAATGACATACTTGGGTCAGATAGATTTGGCATGCACCTTAACTCAAGCAGCCATCAATCATTGACAAGACCCAAAACAGGCTTCAGCCTCATTCATTCTTAAACTTCAAGGAAATATAATTGCATATTAAAGTCTCTTTTTCTAAAATTCTTGAGTTGAATAAGAGTTCTCTAAGGGAATAACATTAGTGTCCTTCACATTACAGAACTTATGAAGAAGCTTACTCCCCAAATTGAGGGTGAAATGGTTCTCAGATACCAATTAGTACATGAGGATCTTGATGCATTGATCTCAGTAAAAACAGACGAGGATCTACGCCACCTCTGCTTGTTCTTCACCAAGATCTCCTGAGATGGTGTAATCCAAGAGTCTTTGTTACAAAGTATTTTTCAGAATAGAAGTCAATTGCACAAAGTTCAGAGCTCTCCTAGCTTTTACTCACTAGCCCGCAGCAACACGGTTTCCATCATACCCCTCAATCACTGCAGCAGCAACTTCACTATTACAACTATAGACAACCAAACTACAATGGGTACCACCAGTTAAGTAAACCTCCTCCTGGTCCTGGTGATCAACTCAAAGGGACAGAAAGGCTTGTTTCTGTTAGGTCTGTTGGCCGAGCCGAGGGCTTAAGGTATCAAGTAGATCATAACCAACATTACTATCAATCACCTGCAAGGCATAGCCGTGGCAGTGGCTGTTGTACGAAATATATGCATTACGATGGATGACTATGGCCATTGTGGGGAAAGGAGAAATGGAAGTATATCGCCAGGCAGTTACTCTATGGAGATAGGAAAGAGGCTATTCTGTGGAAAGAAGAACCAGTAGTCTTTCTCCCACTGAGTCCAATATGGCTGCCTCAGGGGATACTTGAGACTCTTATCTGCTCTACAAATCGCAGTTCTTTCTGTATTTAACTACTTCTGTAGTGTGAGTCAATGGAGACAACACCTGTACCTTCTCATGCACATATTGAAAGAGCTTTTCTTATTTATTTGACATACGTTTTTGCATAGTCAAAGTTTACTCTATAATCAAAAAGTGATGTAAATCCATCTTTTGTGTTTTACCTTGGACTTTGTATAAAAAAACATTATTCTGATAGGTTCCTCAGGACATTTATTTCGCACTTACATTAAGCATGAGCTAACGTATTTTTTACTTCTCTCAGCGCAGCGGGAGAATATTATACTGTATTTCAATATACAAATTCTGCTAGCTTTTGTCCATAAATGAATACTCGATTCCAGATATGAACAAGAACTATGAGACTAAAAAGAAATCTACACTAATTTATTGTTGGTACTAACTATTAAGAATTAAATTCAAATTCAATCACTCCAATAACAGCAAGTCCGTGACCGAGAAAACAAGTAATCAAAAGCACAAGGAGCTTTAGGAACGGATCACAATGGTAGGGGTGAGAGAACCAGAAAAGCAGTTTCTCTAACTTTTTGGTTACACTGGTGACTTCTCTAAAAATATTCATGGGGTTGACACTGTTTCATCTTGCAAGCAAGAGTAGCCCCACCTAACTCAACATTTCTAACCTCTATTTCCTGTATGAATCATCTTATAATAAGCTGAAAATTAAATATAGCCTCAAAATTGCTCTTCTATGCTCACTTGCTATCGGTGAAATCAGCATCGATTACGTCTCCATCAGGTCCTTTCCCTGATGATGATTCTGAAGGACCAGCGGAATCACCAGGTGCTGGACCAGCACCTGGTGCAGCTCCAGCACCGGGCTGGTTGTAGAGTGACTGGCCAAGCTGCATTACTTCTTGGTTAAGGGCAGCCATCGCATCCTTCATGGCCTGAGTAGAGCCCCCTGAGATCGCTTCTTTAAGCTCGCCAAGTTTAGCCTCAACTTTCTCTTTCACCGGCCCTGGTACTTTGTCTCCAAGTTCCTTCAGCTGCTTCTCTGTCTGGTAGACAACAGAATCGGCCTGGTTCTTTGTGTCTATGGCATCTCTCTTCTCCTTGTCTTCCTGGGCAAATCTTTCAGCTTCTTTAACCATTCTCTCAACCTGTTCCCACGCAACAAGATTTCCCATCACTTATGAGCAGTAAGGGGAATTGACATGAAATGACATGCAACATACCACTCATGGACTACCAAAAGTATAAAAAAAAATACAAAATATAAAAAGGAAAGAGAAAGCAAATTTCAGCAGCTGATAAGCACTATATAGCTCTTTGCCCAACAATCCAACAGAGAATTGCTAAAGAGACTTTAGTGCTAGTACAATTGGAAGTCAAAAACATACCTCATCACCGGGCAATGTGCTGGCACCAGTAATGGTGATGTCTTGCTTCTTCCCAGTACCCTTGTCAATAGCAGTGACGGAGAGAATGCCATTGGCATCAATATCAAATTTCACTTCAATTTGAGGAACCCCTCTTGGGGCGGGAGGAATTCCATCAAGCCGGAAGCTGCCCAAAGACTTGTTATCCCTAACAAATTCTCGCTCCCCTTGGAGGACATTAATTTCTACACTTGTCTGACCATCAGCAGCAGTAGAGAATACTTCTGATTTTGAGGTAGGCAATGTTGTATTTCTTGGAATGATCTTTGTCATCACACCACCAAGTGTTTCCAAACCAATGGACAACGGTGTGACATCTAAAAGAACAATATCACTGACATCTCCGGCCAATACTCCAGCCTAGAAAAATGAGAAAATGAGAGGTGCACCAAAATACAAATCAAGAACACAAGATGCACCAGGAACAACGATCTCACCTGCACTGCAGCACCGAGAGCAACAACTTCATCAGGATTTACTGTAACATTGGGGTCCTTTCCAGTCAATTTCTTAACAAGTTCCTGAACAGCTGGAATACGTGTAGAACCACCAACAAGGATCACCTCATCAATATCGCTGAAGGAGAGCTTGGCATCTCTCAAGGAATTCTGAACAGGAGTTTTAAGCCTGATTGCAGAACAAGAGCAAAAAAACTGGCATCAAGACCTTATCTCATAAACGGCACACCAACTTTTAAAAAAATTGATAAGCTACAAAAGCATGTTCTATTGCAGACACCTGTCAAGCAGATCTGAGCATAGTTCTTCAAATTTACCCCGTGTGATAGT